AACGCGAGCCGAGGAACAAACGACGTCACGAGTTAGACCCGGGTGAAAAGTTAACTCCGGTAAAAAGACTCTCTAAAGAAGATCCCATCCGTTCATCGCCCCGCCCCCTCCGCCCCCTCTCATAGCAACACAAAACACCTAATCCCAGAAACATACGCGTACAATTCACAGGTATGGTTCGTAAATCCCGGATAACTGAATATTCAGATTAAGACTTGAAGGCAGAAAGCGTTTGTAAGTACGTATAATAATGACCATCTAGAAGACTTTGGCTTACCCAGCGGGGGAGATGGTTCTACATAAGAATCGAAAAGCGGAGGTCCACAATTTGGACTTAGGGGCCCCATATGTCAATTGAATTTAATGGTTCTTTAAGGAAAATAAAGAAAACGCGATTTGTATAGAAATCGAAGTATTTTTAAATTAGGATAAATTAATGTCGCAGCTGAATTAGTCATAATTATATTCATCATGTTAATCCTGTACATTATTTGTTGAAGATGGTGTGCGTTGCATAGTGACATGTCCAATGTTTTTGTTGTTGTTGTTGTTTGTTTTTTTGGGACAGCGAATCAACCGTATCACTAGATGAGAGTTTTAGTCCATACAGACAAATGTTTAACCTGCTATTTACAGTGTACAAATGTAGGACGGGGGTGGGGGTGGGGATATCATTTTGTGGGTAGTGGTCAGACAGGTAGGTTAGGAACAAAGCCGGAGAAAATCGTGTGACGTCATTTATGGGCGACTCCTAAAAAACGGGAAGGGCAGAACTCTAACAGCAAGAGGATTTTTTTAATCATTGTAAAAATATATACATAAACCAATGTAACAATAATACATTAACTTGGGAAACAGTTGATCAAAATTTAAATTTTACAATTATTAATTAAAAAATACCCAAATAAGTAAAAACATAACTCACAGGCCAGTCACACCACCCCCCCCCCAGACAAAGCCAGACCCCCCCCCCCTCCAGACAAAGTTACCCCCCCCCCCCCCCCACCCCCACAGACAAAGCCCGACCTAGACACATGTAAGTAACCAAACTCCACAGGGCGTCCAATTGAGAGGTAAATAATTGATTAGCTCTATCGATTTTAGCATTGGCGTCTTGGACTATTTGCCGTGTTCGCTTTTGTTTTAAAGAGTTGAATTTTTTTTTTTCAAAAGCCTGTCCGCGATGCTGGCAGTAGATGAATATTTATAAACACAAGTTTTGTGTAGAGTCGAACAGGGGGAAGGGAAGGGAATAGGCATCCAGCATATCAGAGACGGGATCTGTTGTTTGGTTTTGTTTTACAAAAGGTCCGATTCTTGTAAAGGAAGTTTCTAGAACTTCAGAGAGACAAAGTGATCGTTCCCCATCCGTCTACTTCTATTTTTTATCATGCGCTATGAGAGGAAGTTTTATTCCCCATTCATCCCATTTGAGAGGGTTTCTAGAACTTATTCCATTCCCTACCCGCAACTTTGATGGGTAGGCCTACCTAACTCATGTTAGAGAAAGTAAAGGCGGCTGGCCAAAGTGCTGACCCTACCTTCCCTTCATATGCCGAGGTCAAGAAACACATGAACTAGACTGAGTCTGCCCACTGGATCGCTAGGTCTAAAGAGGATTCTTTACTTTACTTTACCCTCCCCTTAGAAAGGAAGTTTCTGGAACTTGTTTCATTCCAAACCCCTCATCTATGAGAAGAAGTTTCTAGCTTATTCCGTTCCCCCACCCTCCCATTGAAAAGTTAGTTTTTGGACGACCTTCATTGGTTCCCCACCCGTTCCGCCCCCCCCCCCCCCAATCCCATGACCATACATTTCACGTCGCTTGTCTAATCTAATCACAATAAAGCATAACTTATTAACTATTAATACATCAAAGGTCGGGTTATGGACAAAAAGTCGTATCGTGGACAAAAATTGCCGTTGTGGACAAATGTCAGCTACACACCATCCGTGACAAGTAGATACACACCATCGGCCGCGAGATCATGCTACAACAACATTACACAACTTCATGCCACTATACTTCAATACCCTAATTAACAATACATCATAGCACCTTACTTTAATACCCCAAACATCAACACATCATAACACCTTACTTTAATACCCCAATTATCAACACATTAAAATGCTTTACTTCAATACCCCAATTATCAACACTCATAGCACATTACTTCAATACGCCAAACATCAACACCTAACTTAAATGCCCTAAACATCAACACATGATAACTCCTTACTTTACTACCCCAACCATCAACACATCATAACAACATATTTCCAGATTACAACACTAAAGCATCAAAGTTCAATACCTCCTCTAATTGTATACATTCAGTCTTTGAAACTTACACATGTAACAAAAACTCAACTACAATATTCCCAAAATACCGTTTCACATGTTAAAATCAATAAGTCCTACGAACTTTTGTTGCATTAATTGTATCGTAGTTTTCCTAACATTGACCTCAGCTAGAAATGCTGCTCGTACTTTAATTTCTTTAACAAAGCTAAAGGTGCATGGTATGAATGGGAGACCCCATGACCACTGAATTCGACCAACACTACTTCCAGAAGCGCATCTAGTGGGGAGGTCCCATAACGACAAGGGGGGGGGGAGCATCTACATCGATGATAAGGTAAAGCTACTCTCCTGAAATTCCTCTCTTAGCATGGCCATAAATGACTGATACTGCAGATGTAAATACGCGTATCCTACTTCGACGCGTTTATGAGGAGCCCGCGTTTGCAACATTGTGCTATGAATGGCATTATTTAAAAATCTGCTCATCTGTTTTCAAGCGCAGGTATAATAGTAATATATATAATGGGGCTGTCTAAAGGACGAAAAGTGTCGCTAGATTTAAAATACCATAGCCAAGACAAAGTATTACTATAGATTTGAGCTAGAAGAAAAGTCATGTATAAATTAACCAGTTATAAAATATGAGTACGATAAATAAATGGTCGAAATAAATGTTCATCATTTAAAACAGAATTAAGTGAAAAGTTGTTACAATGCCCAGAAAGACGGAACGTTGCGTCTTGCATTAGATAAATAAACCGGGGATGAGCATCTGAAATGATGGCACTAGACGGTGAGCATAAGCCGTCTGCTAGACACACCCGCCAGTGGGCTGTGGCCCTGGACCGATGCCACCGCCCACAACACAAACACTCACACGTTCCAGAAGGTTCCAGACGAGCGAGGGGCCTCCCCGTGACCGGCATCCATCAAGTCAAGTTCTGCAGCCAGTTCTGTTGGAGGCTCAGCCTCGACAATTCTGCGATGCCAACACAACGCTTGTTATAATAAAATATATAAAAAAAAAGAAGCGAAAAACGGGAGGGTTGGGTTTGTTGATTTTTTTCCCGCTCACTCCCGATGCGCGTGCTTCTACACGTGCGCAGGCTGTCAGGGACGGGCTGAGTGATTGACGCCGTGACGGACTGACTTTTCCCTCCTCCGCGGAACCAGCCAAACATCGGCGCCAGCGTTTTAACCGCACGGACTTATTCCATGAAAATTTGATGCGCATGAAACTTTACCGTGTGCTGCTGGCGCGCCCCGCGTTTTGATGTTGATATTTATTTTCTATGAAATCTTCATGAGACCCGAGTCCTCCGCAGCTCCCAGTTGCCTAATGGTTTCTGTAGGATTAGCTCCCCGTCTGTAGACAATAGCTCAAGCATGAGCCGCGACCATCACCTGATTGTTGATATTGCCTACTCTACAAGCGACGATGGCAACTGTTTCCCTGCATCCGTACGTACCGCGGTGAAAATTTTATGACATTCGTGGAATTTGGAATTGTGCCGTTAATCTATTTCAATTTTTTTTGTGTTTAAACCTGGTTATTTTTTTTAAAGCATCAATATAATATAGCATAAACTGTGAAATATTTATAAACTCGGATCAACTGTAATGGTTTATTTATCCTACTACAGTTCTAAAAGTAGCATGTGTTAAGGCAACAGCCTCCACTTTTCTGGAAAGTCAACTCAAGAAAGAATGCGTGAAGACTGAACGTCGACATTTTAAGTCGCGGTGCCTTAGTTCAGGAACTCATTCAGAATTCAGCCTCATTTCAAATGGACAGTAATTGATACCCTTGATAAAATTAGACTATACCACCGCACTAAAACGCGGTGTACAGTTTTCAATATTTGATGCTGATTTTTCTATATGACGCCTGTTTTTGGAGACATTTCAAAACGAGGAAGTTCTAAAGTTTGTTGTTTTATTTTTCAACGGAACAAAACTTAGATTTAAACTTGGATCGTTGGATGATCTCTGTATCATTTAATCAATGCTAGTACATGTTTTAAGAATTAAGAAATATTAATAATGAATGTAGCTTTCAACTTCTGAAGCGGCAAACTAATAAAGAAAATGTGATTTGTTTTGCTACAATACAAACTTCAGAAAACGCATGTGATTTATTTTATTAAAAAACCGATAACTTTATTCAAATTTAAAAGTTTTAACAAATTTATTTTATTTAATACTTGATTGTATTCGCTGGATGTGGTTTTTCGTTTTACCCGCGATTGAAAAACATCTTTAAAAGACGGACACAGAAAAAAAGCATTGAGTTATTTACTCAAACATTTATTGTGAATATAGCGTGATTGTGATATATTCGGGGAAAAAACGTTGTGACAATTCAACTGTAGGAGCTTCTCTGAGCAATCCTACCTGTAGCTCGTACTGTACGAGAGTCTACGGGTCACATCTGTTGCCTGTATTTTAGGAGCGTTACACCGCTCTTTAACCTGTAGCCTGTGTAGTAGGAGCATCAAACTAGCCTACCTGTAGCTTGTGTAGTAGGAGCGTTACACCGCTCTCCTAACTGTACCCTACTGTAGGAGCGTGCCACCGCCCTCCTACCTGTACCCCATCTATCAGAGCGTGATCACGCCCCTACACCTGTAGCTTCACGCTGGCTGTTGCCGTGTACGAGCGCCAGGGCCCGCACCATTGCGCCTTCCCGTCCATGAACGTGAAGCAGCCTGCCCTGGGCGTCACTCCTGCTCCCCTGTCGCACCATGGGGGCAGGCACTCCCCCAACACACGCCACTGGGGGCCCCCTCCTGATCGAATGAGATGCATGCCCTCGCCTTCGGTAGGTGCCAATCAAAACAGTACATATTTGGTAAATTTTTCATACATTTTTCAAAAAATCAGTATCGTATCATTTGTCTGTATGTTATTTCCTTGTTAGCAATGTATTTTGTATTGTACAATATTAATTTTTAAAATGTAACGTATTAACATCCATTCCACTCAAATCCTTAAGTCCCTACTCTAATTCTTTATTTATTTATTAATTTATTAATTAATTAATTAATCAATTTAAATTAAATCTGAGACTATGTCATTTATAGTTTTAGCTCACTGCATTAATAATTTAATTAATAATTTAATTACTAATTTAATGCTAGGTACGTGTGTTGTCATCTTGTTTTGAGTTATACAATGTTTAATACACAACATTCAAAATACAAGAAATCAGATCTCTTTAAAAATGTTTACGATTTCATCAATGCAGGCTCCAAATATAAAATAACACAAAACAAACCTTTTCCTTCCTCGAATACTGTAATCGTGCAAAAATTGAAATCGAGATGTTCACAAATCTTCTTGACAAAATATATTTTTGGCCCGTATTTGCAGTGGTAAATTTAGAGATGTTCATGGAAATTCTCAAAATATTGTTGACAAATTTAGACACATTAACTAGCAATATTATGTAAAGGGAAGGCAATAGTGTGAAGTTCAGTCCCACTCAGGTGTTTATCATTGTATCTATATTCTGCATAAATGTAACGTTAGTGATCATATTGTCACTAAGCAATAAAAGGAAGTTTGGTCCGATTGTAAGCGATTTTATTTGGTACTTCACGGTATCTGTTATTTAAAGATTTTGGGACTGATAATGTGTGTGGTTTACGAGTTTATAACAAGATGTAATGACGATAATATTGTTTATGTATATATGTCGTTTACGCAAGCGGTTGTTGTTTTTAAATTAAGAATAATATTTTTTTCAATAATATAAAAGTAGTTGTGTGCTAATTAATTGCGCTACCCATTTTTCCATCTACGTATGAAGGTGGAGGTTTTTGTCATTGATCAGTATGTTTGTAGTTTACTGTATGTACATAAAAGCTAGTTTATAAGTTTCAACCGGCCAGTGTTCCTCCTTTATAACTCAGTGCCTCAGACAAAACTTGCAAGATCCGCCTTTTCAAATAGATTTAAAGGGAAGAACAGTGACAGTGGCCGACCACTTGCACCAACTAACACCACTACAGTGAAAACATCACAACCTAAACTAACCACTTGGAATAACTAACAACATTACACTGCAAACATCACAACCTAGACTAACCACTAGGAACAACTAACACCACTAGAGTGAAAACATCACAACTAACCACTTGGAACATAAACATATCACGTCATACATACTAACCGTAGACAAAGACATCACCCCATACATACAAACATCAGATATAGCCATCAGGACATACATGCTTACCGTAAAAAAAGACATCAGGACATACATACAAAAAGTAGAACGACATCAGGACATACATACAAACAATAGATACAGACATTAGGACATACATCAGGACATACATACACACAATAGATAAAGACAGCACCTCATACATACAAACAGTATACAAAGACATCAGGACATACATACAAACAGTGGACAAAGACATCAGGGTAAAGAACAGCTGGTTCGCTGAAACAACTCTCCAGCCAACATCAAGTCAGTTTCTTACAACTTAACCATCGTTAGTGCTGGGATAGATTCAGATGCTCCAGATTTAAATCTACTTCAACGTGAAGGCGATCTGACATAGGATATACGAATCTAATCCCAGAATTCCCCACTGACCGTCTGAGCGTGGCGGCTCTCAAATTAACGGACATGCGCGGTCTAACATTCTGTGTAAAAAACACATTTTTAATATCTTTATTTAAGGCCGAGATTTTTTAGTGCAATATTTAGTTAGCAGCATTACTAGAGTGCCATTTTCTTGGTGCCTTCGTATCGTGTCATTTGTATTGCGGCATTTGTCTTTTGGTACTTGTTTTTGACTGTTGTATTTATTACTATCTTGAGACATTTTTGGCATAATTGATTGTAGTTTACATTTCTAATTATAATTGTTTTTAGTAGCCTTAGTTTCTCCATAGCCTTAGTTTTATCTTTAGTATTAGTTTATCTGTAGTATTAGTTTATCTGTAGTATTAGTTTCTCTGTAGCATTAGTTTATCTGTAGTATAAGTTTATCTGTAGTATTAGTTTATCTGTAGTATTAGTTTATCTGTAGCATTAGTTTATCTGTAGTATTAGTTCATCGGTAGCCTTAAGTTCGCCATAGCTTTAGTTCCTCTGTAATATTAGTTTCTTAGTGGCAGTTTTTGCATTGTTTTTGTAATACATAATTTTACAGTCAGAATAGTTTACTGTAGGATTGATTTCTGAAGTCGCAGTGTATTGGTTATAAGTTTAGCGTATCATTAGTTTTGTAGCAGACCTAGTGATATAAGTGTTAGTCAGTGGCGTAGCGAGGTCGGGTGTCACCCGGTGCAGCACTTAATGGTGTCACACCCCCCCCCCCCCCAGAGGCGTAGCGACCCATCATCCCGGGGACAAACTTACTTTCAATTTTCGATTTGCACCCCCCCCCCCCCTCCCCCTCAAACTTTCGATTTGCACCCCTTAAAACACAATTTAACACTCGAATTAATCACTTAATTAAGTGAAATTATAATTTTTCTCTATATATTTTGCTATTTTTTGCCCTGGTGTCACCCCCTAAATGGTGTCAACCAGTGCGGTCCGCACCCCCCCCCCCCTCCCTCGCTACGCCTCTGGTGTTAGTGCATTATTTTCTCAACAGCACTACTTTGGCTGAAGTTTTGTTCTTTATTATCACTTTTATCGGCTAGTAACAAAAACAGCAGAAGCTACGAACGAGGATGTATTTTTTTTTTTAGATTTACATTGATGTAAAGCACAAATAAATATTTTAGATGCTAGTGCCACGAGAGTATCCGATATGTGCTTTGACATTGATGACGTAATTTTCTAAATTTAACCCAGCTATAGTTGTTGTTTTGTTGTTGTTTTGAGTAACATGGGGATCTGAGTAGCTAACGCCCCTGCAGTATGCACCAGTTAGTCGTCCCAACGGTGGCGGATTAAATGTGGGGCTAATCGGGCTACAGCCAAGGGCCCTCAAATTTTCGTGAACACTAAATATTGTCATCTGTTGTCAGTTTGAGTTAAAAACAGCCTATGAAATAGTCCTTGTTGCTCCATTTATTTTTCAACCAATTCCATTGTTGTCTTCTCAATTTCAATCATCCATTCACAATCAATAGGCTCTGGTTACATAAAAATTACACCAGCTTAAAACAGACCTTGCTATTATTAGACATCGTATTGTGTTTGTGGATGTACTCCTGTTCGTATGTTTATGTGAAAGTATGTAAGAATGTGCGTGCGAAGTGGGTATGTTCGTGTTAATGTGAACGCGTATTTATGTACAAGTATGTTTATGAGCAAGTTTGATTTTCGCTAGGGAGTCTGAGCGCATGAGAAGTAAAATGCCAGGAAAATCATGATTTGCATTAACCTGACCGTTAAAAAAAATCCACGAAAGGTTATTGTACGGTTACATTGCTTACACAAATCTAGCAAGAAGCCAAACATTTAACCAGCTGTAAAAAATTAGTCATTTAAAGTTCTAAATTAATGTTATCATTCCCCACAACGCTTCACGTTTCATAGATAAAAATGAAAATAAAAATGGAATACATCAGCTAATTCCCAATTTTTATAAAACGCCATTTTGCTATATTGTTACTAAATTATCAAATTAACTTGAAAAAAATATTTAAAATTAAAATATTTTAAATACATTCATTTTTTTTTTAATTTAATTTTCTTGACCTATTCATCTTATTTTCTCGTAGATTCTTGATGGGACATTTTTAGTATTAAAATCTCCAAAAATAAAATTGCTTTTGAAACCCACTATTGTACTTAAAATCTTGCTCATATATTATTTGATTCCATCTCCAGCAAACCCCCCAACCCCCACCCCCACCCCTATCTTCTGGCTATCCACTCCGTTATGATACATTAGTTTGGAATCGCTGCACATAATCCCCAGAACAGCGGAATATGTTTCTCTTAGACAAATAATTTAAAATAAGTCTGCAATTTTTTTTTCTAAACATGATTTCCTCCAGGATATAATTTAATTATTTTACCCCCCTCCCTTTTTTTACACAAAAAACTCTGATTCCCCCCCCCCCCCTTTTTTTTTTCTAACTTTTCAGCATCCATCCACTATCAAGTCGCATAACTCTAATTATATTTTCTTTAACTCATTTGCCGTGGTCACTCATTATCCGCGTTAGCTGATCCGGAAGGCTGAGAAACTTAGAAAACAGAGTTATGCTCCCTTGTTTCTATTTATTAAAAGAGAGAGAGAGGGGGGAGGGAGAGAGAGAAAAGGGCCCATCCAGTTACAGAAGTCTATAGAATAATATATCGTAAAGAAATGGCACAGCGAAGCCACCGATGGCAATCTTTTTATCTCCCCCTTTTATCTTCCGCGCCCCACCAACGGGGGAATACCTTCAATGTCGCCCTCATTAGATATTCAGTTCAGCGGGGTCAGGTGACGTCGCTGCTTCGAGGGGGGATCTTGAATTTTTCATGAGCTTGTTTCTCCACGTTGCATTCTGGCTACCTGAGAATCAATACCCGAAGCCTCGTCTCTCCAGCTTCAACTAGAAAAATTATTTTTTTTTTCTTTCAGATCCGGTCCCGGTGCGAATTTTGTTTTTACCCATTTCATCTGCTAGGGCCGTCTGCTGAGTTTTTTTTTTTTTTTTTTTTTTTTTTTTATTATCCTTCATCATTATCATCCTCATCATATTCTTCCTTTATTAATTGGTAATCGTCTTTTATATTAATGAAAATTCTTTTTATTTGAAAAGAAAAATTAAATCGCAAAATCAAAGATTTTTCTTATTCCGAATTTTTTTCAATTTCAATATTCCATACCCTTCCCCCTATAGTATAAT